TATATATATAGTATGTACTTAATTCCACATTATTACAAATAACTTCGGTTTCTTTGTATGTATGGATCACTTGGGTTGTTACCAACATCTGGTGAAAATTTCATGTCATTAGCACCTCTAGTAATATATTTACTGAGAAAAATGGTGACGTGTTCAACACTTATTTTACCCGCTGTATATTTAGACATACAGTATTTGTCATTAGAAGGCTTTTTCCTTATCTGCTGAGTCACAATAAATATTTTCATTTCACAAAATATGTTCCTCTAATTAAGAGCAGTAGCTGCAAAAACACAATCACACTTACTTTTTAATTAGTTTTTACATCCCGTAATATTTGTTCAAATATAAAAGGTTCTTTAGATTGAATGATGCCACACCATAAAAACATAAAGAAACATCAATTCTATAAGAAGCACGAAGCTAAATGAAGAGTAAAGAAGGAGAAGCGAACATCAGGGACGTGCCGTTAAAGACGAGGCTGTATTTTATCTCAGCTGAAGATGACAGACTCACACCAGGGACTGAAGTGAGCTGAGGTCAAATAAARGCATAAATAACTATTTTTTTCAAGTTTTAGTGACAGAGAGGGCTTTACCATGACTAGAAGTAATAATTTTTAAAACATACCGTAAGACCTGATGACAATAAATAAATAAATAATAAAAAAATAAAGATTTTACAAGGTGAAGTAAAACAAGAAGGATCCTCAAAAGGAGAAGTAGAAAACAATTTGGATGCTCAGTGTTTCAAGAGTTTCATGAGGAATGTTGGTTTCAAATGTGAACATTAAGGTCAGTTACAGCAAAGTTTTTGTTTCATCATCTAACAATRTTCTGTTGACCAGCATTGATGCCATTTCTGGAGTTTTCCATCATCAAACCGTCACTTCAAGAGTCTCAATAATGAGGAGCCGCCATCTGCATTCAAACAGTCCCTTCAAAGGAAAGCTGCCATTTATTGGACCTGAACTCTGACTCCGGCCCAATTACCTGCTTCTGKGGACTTTGGGTCATTCCGATACGCCCGACGTGATAACCTTTCTGTGAATAACAAAAGATCTGAAGGAAAACTTGAAATAAATTTGGTTTAAAAATTAAAAATGCACTATTAAACTTCTTTTTTTTAGCTCAAGAACACTCATTCCCAATTATTTTGTTGTTTAGTAATAAAAATAAATGCAATTTCAAGCCTAACATTATTATCCCCCATTATTTTGAAGGTATTTCATCATATTCACATATAAATACTAGATTAGCTGACATTAGTGACAGTTAGTTGTGATGCCTGGTTATCAGAGGCTCTGAGATGTGTTGTGTGTGGAGTCAAAATGCAAATGGAGTGATGGTGTAAAT